CAATTGCATTTAAAGTTTTTTTCCCATTATCATTCATGTCACGAAAATATTCTTGTATATAGTTATATTTTTTAACATTGTTTCCTTAATGGCAAGCTAAATAATCTCAAAGGGTTCAATATTTAATAACCGTCTTTACAATTTGAATTACCAACTTAGACCACAAATGCAACATATCAAGATCGAATAGCTGCGTTTGGTCCACGTCTTACTGACGAAGGCCTTTTTGGATATCTTATATCAGTAGAAACAATTGAGGCCGACAACCAGAAAGGATGTAATAAGCTTAAGAAAAAACTTGATAATAATAGTATAGCACTTGTTGAACGCGGTCAGTGTTCTTTTATCGATAAAGTGCGAAACATGCAAGCCTCTGGGGCTGTTGCCGTCGTAGTTGGAGATAACGAACACAACGGTTTGATCACTATGTATGCCACTGGTGAGTCTATACAAATATGTATTTATCTTTTTTTCCTAAATTCGTTTTACTGCGACTATTAAATTTATATTTCTTGTGCTTTAATTTTTATTTTTATTAATTCATTTTTTAGGGGATACATCTGACGTAAAAATCCCATCGGTATTTGTTGCTCAAACTGAATATAGAGACCTCAGATCTCTCTCACTTGTGGCTAAAGAACCTGTGGAAATTCAACTACTTAAAGATGATCTTTTACAGTGGTAGTATCGAATCCGCATTTTGTGATTTAGTATATGCGAATTTAAATCAGTATCTAAATGTTAATATAATACATTATAGGCCTTTATTAGATGTTATCATTGTAGTGATTCTGTCACCAACTGTGATGATGATTTTTATATATGTTCTTTGGCGCATTCGTCAGCGTCAAAGACGCAAACAAGATATCGCTCCTCAACAGGTTGTTGGAAATCTTCCAACGAAAATCTTTTATCGCTCAAAAAGGCAAGATAATGATCCACAAGAATGTGTCATTTGCTTAGAAGATTATGTGGATGAGGATGAACTAAGAATTATGCCTTGTAAACATGAGTATCACGTTAAATGTATCGATAGTTGGTTAACCACAAGACAGAGATTTGTAAGTGTCAAAGTAATTACATCAAGTTATTATAAAAATATTTTTTAATTGTTTACACTTTATCTGCCATATTACTAGTGTCCTATTTGCAAACGGGATGTTTGCTTACCGACGGAAGAAACACCCCTTTTACCCGTTCCATGATATCTTTTTGGTATTGAGTCTTACCATTCCTTTGTACCATCATCATGCATTTTCCGCCTTTAACGAGGTTTTTTTAATGTATGAATTCGAGGTGACATTCATTTCTAACGAAAATAGATAGGTATATTTTCTAGGTAGAACTAAAAGGGATTTTGCTAGCTTACCTACATTTTCTACGTCCTTTGTTTGGCGATATCGTTTTTTTTCTTTTCTTTTTTGCAAAAAATTATGCTCTTATTTTCGCCGGACTAGGCTCCCTTATTTACCAGAAATGATGCTGACGTTTAATCGTTTGTTGTTAGATTATATATCCGTGCTATTTATATATAGACGCATTTGTATTCATTATTTGATTTATTACGTAATATATTACGTATATTTTTGTAATTAAAATGTATTTTTTTGACATTCTTATATTTTATGTCTATACTGCGTAATTTCTCCCATGACGTACATACATTCAATAATCTTTGAGCTTCTACTTTTGTGTTGGAGGCTTATGAGCTAGATGCTAAAAAAAAAAAGGGCCAAATCAAACAATTTTTTTTTTTAAAAAAAAATTTCTTAATAGTTTAATTAATCCAAAAAATTAACTCAGGAATATTTTTTACTTAACTGTTAAGGAATAAATACGGTTTGTTAATAAAATTTTGCAGTATATCCTTTTAAGTTTAAATTTTATAGTATTTTCGCAAAGCATGTTTTTGTTAAATTTGGTTCCTTTTCTTAGCACCCAGCCCATATTTTAATTCCATAATACGTACAGCAGATTAAAGGCATAATCTATTGGAATGCATATCTAATTACAAACATAGTGCAGGTGCATAGTGAAATTAATCGAACTTTTTTATAATTAGCAGTGGCGTAGTGATAGCGTAAATAGTAAAAACATATAAAATTTAAATTGCAATAACTCTTGAACAAGCAAACCCACA